AGACATTGAATCTGGTGAAAATCCGAGATGGCAAGAGGGTGAACGTACATATGCAAGATTAATGTGACGTCATTCGTGACCTTTGCCTCGACTTGTGATTTTATGGTAACTCATTTTACGCCAAAATGAATCCATATCGTGTTAGATGTAAGACAATACTTTTAACCTGGTGTCGATAAATCAGTTTTTGCATTTCAACTTGAAACGACCACCGGAACTCTATAACATATCGTGGGAAAGTCAAGTTGATGATCAGGCCAGTTATATGTATGCCTAGTTTAACAGCTGTTGTTCAGAAAAGATAATGATGAAAAATAATGAATAAATGGGCACAAAACAAGGTACACGAGGAGAATTTCGAAGTGGATTGAGAGTTACCAGTTCGATGTAAAAAGATGGTTTTCAAACTCCGAGATACGCAATAAATTTGCTGAACGATTTGTTCGCGTAACTCAGAAAGTCCAGAAATGAACGCAGCTACCCTGACACGCTGTGCAGTTCCCACCCAGTAAATAAATCGTCACTGCGCCCATTAGGCAGTTCACTGCTCCAATTTCACTAACCACTTCAACCGTGTTTGCACGGTTACTAACAACGCAAGACACGCCGCGTCAATAAAAATAAATAAAGAAACTACTCTGGAAGTGCTGTTAAAATTAATTTAACTATAAAGACTAGAAACTAAATAGACGATTATTCTGAGAAATGTAATGTTGTTGAGTCTGGAATTCTAGAAGAACGTCTGTGATCATAAACTCGGGACTTTTATCCAGATTCAAATTATACAGACCACGCTTTGTTCCTATAACCAAACTCTGTATATAAACAACAGAACATGGATGTATTATAGACTTTCAACTCTTTATCTGCCAGACGCCATAACCCTTCCTGTCTAGTGGAATTATATTCATAGCGTTTGCACGGTTCGTCGCGGTGTAAAGAATACTTCTATTATACCGGACTCAAACACTGTGTGAACATCTGTGTTATCAACTGCAATGCGATCTCGCATTCGCTCCACGATCGATGTATCCCGACAAACAACAGGATACATGGACTAAGAACACCATTGACGAACTATCGAAGTATAGAATCAATATTGAAAAGGGGGGGGGGTATACTGCTGACGCAACTTTTCACTGTGCGAAATGAAGATTTGGGAATGTATTAAATTATGGCCCTGGTATGCATCTCAATATATTATAACTTTTGATACCTGACCACACTGTTGTTGTTTTTTTGTAATCTAGGAAATAAATTCGTAACAAATTACTAGTAATTCATGTTTGCTGCTACCTACCGGCCAACTTTTTTTGCTAATCGCAACGAATACTTGGAAAATTAATTTTACGTATACGAACTAATTATATTAATTAAAACGTATAAAGTACGGCAACCGATATGGCTCACAACATAGAATTTTATAAAACCATTTATATAATTCATTTACATTTTGAAAATTCATTTTTATGTTATAATCCCTTTTTAATAACCATCTTCGGTTCTTTTTCAACTCATAACTCACATTCTCACATATAATTTTAATACATTAATTATTCACTGAGTTTTATTTTCTCTATGTCCAACGAAGAGTAAAATTTTCTAAATTAAATCCACGTGTAAAATAACAATCGAACTCATTGTTTCCCTGGAAAATTCTTAAACCGTGACTGTTTTAAGTCTACATGCCAAAATATTGAAACAGTAAAATTAAATTGAGGCGAAAATAAATAGTTTTACATTACAATCCGGTTCGTTCGATGCCTGTGTTGTGTATTGTTGCCGCTGTATTTTAATATCTATCTATTACATCCGGGAGGTTGGATTTCACGGACTATTTGCATCTCTGGTGGTCGTCATGGATGAGTGAAATGGAGCAGTAAAGAAAACAATTATTCAATCGAAAAACATCCGCCAAACTCGTAACTTCCAAAGACTTATTTTAAGAAAAGTCGTCAAATCATGTTTTCATGATTGGAAAATTAAATTTTTTATTTTGGTAACATTTTTTTGACATATCATCCTTCGTTTCTGGTCTAGCAGACAGTGATGTTTTGTCTTAGTACCCGTCACGATCACGTGACACCCATTAAAGTTAAATACCAACGTACTGGTGTCCGATTATAAGATACTTCTCTCTATTTGCTTGTTATGTGAACACTTCTTGGATTGTCCTTGTTTTCTCTGGAGATTTTTGTTATTGAGTTATAATGTTGTTGATTCCGTCGTTGACCTCCTTTTATGCCTGTTTAATGCCTCCCCCAATAAATTATGCAGCTTCACCCCCACGCCCTGAATGTCACACATCTACATACTTTCGTGAAGGATAAATTCATTATCAGTGACCGCCATGATTAAAACTTGATGTATTGGCTTCAATTTATTTTAATTCCCATCTTTGTTATTGTTATTTTTGATTTAAAAGTAATTATTGGTTTATTTTAGTTGCCACTATTAAGTTGTTTTATATTGTATCTAGGTTCATTAACAATACAAAAACATGAAAAAATGGTGCCTATACCTACATAAGATTTTAATTAGAATGTAACAAGAATTTCTCGAAGATTTGTCAGTTCATGGACATGACAACAATAATGTGCGTTCCCGGATGTGTGACATTTAGTGATCATGCGTATAGAAAAATGCGGTACCCCAATGTGAATTGACACTTGAGCGCCAAAGTTAAAAGGCGGTAGTTGTCACAACGCGCATGCGCGAGATATATGGGTCTCATATGAACAAAAATGGCAGATCAGCGAGTACAAACTGAGACGTTTCCAAGCTTTAAATAGGTATTTTTTTTAGGTAATTGGCAGGCATCGAAGGAGTCACGAGCGGTAATAATGGATATTCCGCCAACTGCGGGATCGCGCGAGAGTGAGATTACGCCATAGCAACGATTGCTGGCAGGTCAAGCTTTAGAACAAAATGGCGTCGTGACATGTAAACCACACACGCGACTCGGCAACATTTAGAACTGATTTTCGCTATTAATTGATCATGGATGCTTTTGAAAAGCTCACAGTCCCGAAGCTAAAAGACTTTCTTTGCAAATTTGGCGTGTCCACTGCAAATTATAGAAAGAATATTTTAGTTTCGCTGGCAAAAGCAGTCCACAGTTTTGGGCTAGACGAAGACCCGGATATGACAAGACGCGATCCAAAGAGGGACGTCAGTGGCCGACTAAAACAGCTAGGACGTGATGCGGTAATTAGTCGCGCCCAGGTCAAACCTTATACTTGTGATTTCCATTAGAAAAGCGCATTGGATTGTCGGAAAATCAATGTTTATCAACACAAATGTCGCATATGCGCGGCGCGACGACTATCGCGCTTTAACTTTTGTCAACGATCACAAAATAAAACCCATTGTTCACAGTTTTTACAAGACCTGTAGCTTTTAT